ACTTCAGAATAATTGATTTGTTAAAAAATTGTTCAGGTATTTAAAGAAATGGTTGCGTAGGGGAGGATGCGGCAAATTGATTGTTTTCAATAACTTTTCCTAAAACGTTATCATCGACGGCCTTATCTGGCCCTCTTCTTGCCTCATCGCCAATTTTGAATATCGCGCACCAACGTTGAAGTGTTCGAACATTTGCACAACTTCCTTCAAATACTAAATTTATACCCTCAACAGTTCTTATCGCAGTTCTTCCAAGTATAAACTTGTACAATAATGTTGAAGCAAATGGTTTATGAGTGTTGCATGAAAAATCAACATCCTGGAGTGTTGGTAAGTTTTATGACACGTCCGAAAAATATAGTTTGGGGATGCCTGCGAACACCCCAGGTATGGGAGTGCACACTGTCACCACGCTCCGTAAGCAGTCCTAATTGTGCGCCCGTCTTGTCTACGTCTTGTCCGAACATCTTTTTAAATATAATTATTTACCTAGCTTACTCCACACGAGTTTATTTAATATAACCCCTCAACAAATAAAAATTACGCGAATATCTCAATTATTCGTCACGTCAGATAATAATGTTCAAACAATTTTATTATGATTTGTTTTTTGCTCTTCAATATACGCGTACTACAGCAAATTCCTTCTTGACTATTGCGTATAAGAATTCACGATCGGACAAAAAAACGAATGGTAGCATATGATTTGGTACTTCAAGTAGAAAATGGTATTTCATTTACAAATGGAAAATATGTTAATATTAAGCTACACAATCTTTTTGCACTTTCTATCTGTATATAACACGAGTAGATAAACTAAGATGCTAAAGACATCAATAAGACCTTTACCTGTAACCGTACTTCCAAAAGCGGCTTCCCCCAGAGGGAGAAACCCTAATTTGTCCTAGCTGCATGCAGTTTTCAGTAAGTATATTAGAATCAGTTGACTTTCGCTGGATACAAGAATTCTTCGTACGGTCCTGGCAATGGTTTCAAGTACTTATCTGCTCGTATCTCTGTCAATTTTCGGGTCCCGGCAGCTAAAACATGTTTACTTTGACCGATTTTACGACCTCGCTATATCGTGGCCCCGACTATAGGGTATCGACCCTCAAATTTCGGCAAATTTCATTTGCTCTAACTTAACAGTATCTATATTATCTACCGAAAGTTAAGACCCTGCTTCAATGCAACAAAGTAACACTTAACATTCAATTTTCGCTTCTTCAACTTAATATAATGATACAGCAGGATGTCGTGTTATAAATTCTAAAACTACATTATTCTTTTCGAATTGATTTTACCGGTTAAACGATACGTTCTTGCAATCGCTGCAAAATACCGAATAAAAAGAGTAGCTGCGTTTATGGAATTTTACGCGTAAAATTTCACGGTCCATGGATCGCAGATTTCTCTCCTTTCTTCTGGATGTTCCGAAACCTTTCTAGAAGGGTGAGACTAAAAAATATCGAGAAAAATTTTGTCGTCATCTCAAGCAAAAAACCAGTCTAGCATACATCGGTACAGAAAAACTTACTTGCATTCGAACGTATAGAGAATGAGCATGTTTTTCTTTCGTAAATGTTTTTCATAGGAGTTCTTTCATAGGAGTTCGCAGCATGTCGATGAACAGCTCGGATAACCAGGAATAAAGAAGCGACGAGGCAAAGGAACGCTGCAAAGCCAGCCATTCGTGGATAATTTATTCCGTCGTCGATCTCGTTAAACGAGCAATGTCGAAGCGAAATTTAGCTCACGCAAGCCTTTTGTAATGGGAAAAATTATGCGCGAGACAAAGCGCCGTCGCTAATTGAATCGCTTTCGTTTCATTGATTCTTTCACAGAATCTCTTCTTAAATTGATGCACGAGCGAGCGAGCAAGCGAGCGAGCGAGCGAGAGAGAGAGAGAGAGAGAGAGAAGAATTGGGAACACCTAAAAGCCAGGAAACGAGAATGAAAATGTTTCGCGAATTGTTGGTAGCAGCGTGTTGAAAAGGTGTCAGTTGGTTCATTGTTAAAGTTATTAGACGATAGAGATGACAATAATCGGACGTGGACAGGGTCCAACATGCGTACCACGTGCATGAATAGAATGCACCGACCAGAAATAATGACACCTCATGTCCGAAAGTTGGTGCACAGCTTGCAGGGAACGTTTCAAGCGGTAAGTGTCGGTAAACACATGGGAATAAATTGAAAACAGGAATGTTACTGCGCGGAGTTTTCACGAGAACTAGGTGTATATGTACCTCGACGATGTATAGAAAAGCTGATAAACCTGTCCACACTGTTGGATTCCGGGCGATGGAATGTGTACAACACTTTTAAAATCTTAATACGAGGTTTATTCAAGTTTAGACAGTTGCGAGTTGCACGATGATACTGGTAACAATGATTGTCGCCGCTTTTCAGGTCGTTATATTTATAGGGATTAGAAGAGAACGTGGAAGGGACTAGAGAGGGGTCGAGATAAAAGGTCTAGAAAAGTGGCAAAGGTTCTAGGTGGCTAAGAACTGAACTACGAAATATTTGGCGAAATGAGTGTTCGCGATGCGCTGGCATTTACCGAAGATTGCAACGCGAGCGGCTCGCATCCACGAGTCACGTCGTGGTAGGTTGGTATCCAACAACACATTCGTTACGTTTCTTTCCCTCCCGTGACATTTTTCACTCGGCAAGTTGTCGAATATTACCCCCGTACACGCTCCTTTGTGTACACCGCGAAAACACGACGGGATTTCGGCAAGAGGTTGGGTTGGTGATTTGTCGGAAAAGCTGGCGCGAAAAAAAAAATTTGATCGAGCTGATTGGCGAGCAAACAGCGGCGGAAAAGAAATTCACATCGGTGTCGTTGCCTTATTTCTCTCTCGATTTGTCATCGATCGAATCGCGTATTTAGCGACTTGGAAAGAAAAGTGGCGGAACGTGTTGAAAGGGGGAAAAGGAAGACGGGTGGGTAGGCTACGGAAAAAATCGGGTACGAAGTGGAAATTCGATACATACAAAAACGATGGTCGAACGTGGCTGACATTCTAGGTGATAAATCGATGCTGAATTTCAATAGATGTTTCTACCTACGAGCACCGTGCACTATACTGTGCGAGCGTTTTTTTTTCCTTTTTTCCTTTTTTTGTTTCCAATGGAAATTTATCGGATCCTTGCACGTTTGCCGACTGCGTTGTGCATTAGCAACGCTCTTGCAATTTGTACGCGTTCACTCGATGAACGTGTGCAGTTAACGGTAGCACGCGTTAACGTTACTCCTTTCGAATCAATTGCCGGCCGGATAAAATACGACGGGTAGTTCAGTTAATAGGTACAATCGATTGTCCGTGGTATGTAAATGGTACCAGGAAACCGGTGGAATTTTTGTGGCGGCACGCTACCCGAAAGTCTCATTAAATATGCAAAGAAACGTCAGGGTAAAAGTGGGCCTCGGTGTTCTTTTCCATCGATTCCGCTTCCATTCCGCGAAATCCATTAAGATTCTCGATCGACAGAGAAGTTCGCGGTATAATAACGAGATTGTTTTTCGAAATTTGCCGTGGAACATCGTGAATCGTGTTCTAAAGAATCTTTTCATCCGGGAGGAGTTTTCGAGATCTATTTTTCCGTTCCCCTTCCCCGAGCCGGAAACACTTGACAAAGGTGGACCACTTCTGGCGAAAGGTTCAAGCAGAATAAGGAAAGTCTAAGGGTCACAGACCTCTACTTAAACTCATATCGATTGCAGAGGACTGGAACACCGACGTGAGCACGTAAAAATATACAACACAAAGGGAACAGAACGAAATGGACGTATATATACAGAGTGATCCTGGCAACTGGGCCAGGCTGTAGCTCCGTTCCAAGTGAAGTTCGAGAAAAATCGTGGAGGAAAACATTACGCTGTTTAACCCTGAAAATTTGCTCACGCTATACTGTTGGAACCTTTTGGTGCACTCCCACCTTAATTTAATGCTGAATTTTATCCTTTAGGCACTTCCACCTTAATTTAATACCACCGTATACTGTGCCGGAGTCACAGGTTTCGCAGTCGGACGCGTCGTTTCGCGAGCGATAACGCACATAATGTGAGATTCCCAATCAGAAGACGATCGCCTGCTTCCTATAGCGTTCCGCGGAAGACGTATGCGATATTTCTCTTCATAAGCTTGTTTCCGTTGATATTTTGCTGTTTATATTGTTTTGTTGCTTATATTGTAGAATAAATATCTTTTTTTTATAATTCACGATTTTTATTCTTTCGTATGCATGCAATAAAGATCCGAATGTAACCTAAAACCGATTCAGTAGTATCCGTGAGAAACAAGCGCGGGGTGGAGAGCGAGGAGATCGTAAATATGTATTCGTAACATATCGGTGTGAGTCAGAAGTGACTCCGGCATAGGACTTCGCGGCTCAGTACTCCGAGGGTTAATGAACCAAATTTTGAAACGATACGACCTGTGAGAAAATCCGTCCCGAAGACGGTGAAGCGAGCATCTTGAAGCCAGGCCCAGCGCGCTCGGTGGGGACGACTTGCCCCTTTGGGTCTTTCCTTGGGCCTGTTCGCGTAGAGGTGGAGAGGGATCGGCAGGACGACGCGTCCTCACTCTTCACGAGACCCTCGAAGCACACTTTCTGCGAACGACGGTCAGACAACGCGGATATAATTCCCTACTCCGAGTCAGAGTACTTTCTGACAGACCAAAATAAGAAATTTTGCAGTCGCGGTTGAAAATTTACCGTCAGTCATCGACGTTACGCGTTCAAATCTGCCGTAGTGAAAAAGGGTTAACACTGTTTCATAGCATTATCAATTTGAGCAAAAAGAAAAAATTTCGATTTTTTCGATTTAACCCCTTGAAACGTTTGAACAATAAAGTTGGAAAAAGCCAGATTTGAAAGCTGGTATGTTACACGAAAGCACGAGAGGGATTTCACTTTGCTTCTTCTTTTCTGTTCCAGATAAGTATGATGAACGTTTGAAACAACGACGTTACAAATTAATTGTCACCATGAGAACGCTCATGATCCTAGTGAGCATTTTCCTGGAAATACATCTTCATTTCATTGGTAAGTACCATCGTCCATTGTTGCTGTTTTTATTACGGGAAATAAAGCAGTTGGAATTATCTCCGGGGGTAAAATGTTGGGGAAGGCGATGTAAAACATCTGAATATTCATAAACGGATTATCGATCAAGTAGAAAGCAGTGGATCCGGGGAAATTTTGGCGGAGATACGAAAGCAACGTGTTTCGTTATAATCACGGCGCGGCGGTTCGAAGCGAAAGGAACATCGGGATATGTACATCATACGTGCTTACACGACGGAAAGCTCTTCCGCGTTCGCGTTTCACCGAGTCATTTTCGTGCTGACACAGAAAACACTTAATTCACTGTGCCAGTTGATGGCTGACAAGTAATATCCGGCTATCGTGTTCTTGATGACCGCAGAAACTTTCGGCTCGTTAGCGCAGGCAGAAACTTTCCGACGGCCATAAACCATTATTCGTTCTCCGATCGGTGGGAGTCGTTACCCTTGCCCCGGCAAAGTTATTCCTACGATATTATTCGTACGAAATCGATGAAATTCGTCGATTGATAACCGCCACGACAAACATGTATTTCGACCACTAATACAAAAACAGCTCCGGGCGATCTCATAAACCACGTTGTCGACGGGGACTTTAATTGAAAATTTAATTAAACCCGCACTAATCTTTATTACTCGACATTTCACGTTTCCCAATTTCTCAGGCTTGCGTAATTCAATTTGAAAAATCACCTTTATTCTTCTCCCCTCAACTCGCTCGCGGGTATATTCGCCTCCGTAAGATAGAGAGAGAGTTAGGTATTCTTAACGTTTCATCACGTATTCATATATTTGCACTTTGTCGAAGAAGTTGGAACGATTTAAACTCGTTTGACGAACGATGAATTTTTCAGCTCCCGTAATCCCTCGTTTCTCTGTGCAGCTCCTTTACTCCTTGAGTACGCGCATGATTTCGGTATCAGCTTCTCGCGAAGGTGTATTAACGACGGTGGGAACTTTCGCGAGGATTTAAGGCTCGTAAAACGTTACGGTACGCGATACGACTGCACGATACCGTGATACGTTATCATCGATACGTTCGGTGGGTCCAGCCACCATAAACTGGATTTTGTGTTTTCGAACACGTTATCGCCGGGGCATAAATACCGAGCAATCGATGAAACGCATCTGCGGATAATTGTGTTTTATTGTAACGTTTAAGGAATATATTAACCCTCGTTAGGCCTTAATACCTGCACCACCGTTCATAAGTATTAGGACACTTGCTGAATGTGGAGCATATTGAAATCTACCGAATTCCACTGCAATTTATTCAAATTTTCTGAAATCTACGGAAGTCTGCTAAATTTTAATCAAATCTACTGGAATATTCTGAAATCTACTGAAATCTACTTACCGAGTACGAAGCAAGCCTCTTTCTCGCCGTAAGTTTGTTGTAAAATTATTTCACACACAAAAGCAATGAAAAAATTATCACGACCTGAAAAAAGAATTATTCATTGTAGAAACTCGAGCTTGCGGCTAAACGTTACAATTCTGAGAAAACGTAAGAAATGACCGAGAAATAATGTAGTTATTCTCTTCACTGTTAACTAATTTATTGTTAAGTTTATTGTACTTGAAGATTTCAAGCTGCTTATATTTAACATATTGTAATTGGTTTTTCATAGGAAATCATTTATTTGTAACTCGGAGTAAGTTGTTCCTAAGAGTCGCCTTTCAGTGAAATATTTCATTTTTTAATGGATTGAAATACCATTTTATTAACAATGTTTATTTATTAGGGTTCAGATCAACAAAAATATAAGTATTATTTAAAAAAAAAAAACTAAAACAACATAGGCTGATTCACCTAAATTGACGACCTGATTGCTCGTAAACTACAATCAATTCTCCACAAGTGTCAGTCCGCAAGGAAGCTAAACCTGACACTTGTAGAATCAGGGACTACGTTTTCGAGCCTCGCGCCCGTCTTTGTAGTTTGCCGAACGTAGACAAGGACAGCGAATAAAAGATAAAGATGAAACGTGAGTTGAGGCAACCAAGCGATTTAAATATCAACTTTTTTAATTTTACGTTTTTCTATCCCGTTTGTTCTGGCGTGACAGTGAATAAGTAAATGTTGTTCAAATTGTATCGTGTTTGATATCATTTTCATTAGAAAAATCTCACCAACACGTTAAAAAAAATTCCAGATGAAAAAAAAAAAAATTAAAGAAATTATGTTTTTCTATTATGAATTGTCGAGCCGTGAAATCTCGTAAAAGAAACCGAGTGGTGTAGCGTTACACGCTTGACTGACATAGAGATAACATAGGCGCAGCAATGACGCAGCCTAGACGTAGGACCATCTATACTGACACTTGTAGAATCAAAACTGACTGACACTTGTAGAGAATTTACTGTATTCGCTGTACGAAATAGTGTTTGAAGCAAAATTTGTACAATTTCCAGCAGACCATATGCTACAATAATTGTTTCTTTCTACATTGTTTTCATACATAAAGTTTCGAAGGTCGCCATGATATTTTTAAACGGAGCACCCTGTATTTCCATCTGGAAATTAAGAGAGCATTAAAAGCTATCTAAGACTAACATTTGCGAGAAAACATAATTTAAATCGTACAAGACTTTCTACTCCTAATATAATAGCTGTTCCAATACTTACGAACGTAATATTTCGTATTTAACTTACGAGAGCCAGATATTGCTACAAGTTAATGCGTTTTAATGCTACGAACCATTTCATCAAGTTCTTCTTTTTCTTGCACATTTCAACGGAACAACAATTGGAGAGAGAGAATCTCCCGGGTAAGAAACTTTACCCGCAAAATTGCTTACACTTTTTTTAATCAAAAGTTGAATCATATCATATAACGGTTTGCTCCGCGGAAACGTCTGGCCCGGCTGCAACCGTTGCGTCGGCCAGAAAGTAGGGGGAAACCCCTGTTTTCTCGAGGAGAAAACTCGTCTGTAACTCTGGCGGAGCTTTAGTTGACTTTTCCCCCCCCCCCCCTCCCGCCGCCCCTTTTCGCGTCCGCGAAAAGTCTGAAAACCGATATCGACGGCGTGCCATCGAGGGTGGTTGCTCAGAGCTGAAAAGAACGCAGCCAGGGACGTTTATCGAGGATCGAGCATTGTCCGTTCACACGTGCGCGACTACAAAATAGGTCGCGCCATCCCACGCGGTGCTGCTTTGTCGTTATCGCTCTCTGTACCTCATAAAAAGCCGATAATATCGAACGAGAAAGCGCTCCTGGCAGACTGGAGAGCTCATAACGCGGCAGGACACGTCGAGGCTCCAGGGGGAGAGAAAAACGCGCCACTGAGTATCATCGTCGAGGCTGTGGTTGGAAATGAAATTTGACGTTAGAAAAACTGCTTCGAAAGCATTTTACACGCGGTAAACTAATTGTTTTCCGTACGACTTTTCGCATTAACCACTTAAACGCTCTTATTTTCTTTTTCTTTTCGATTTGACCGTGATAAAATACGCAACTTTCTTTTCTCGCGTAAATTCATATTCTGTGGATGTTGTAACGTGGTTTTTTGTATTTTTACCGGCGTACGAAGTACTTTTAGCGAAATAGAGGAAGAAAAGCAACAGATGGAGTATGACATAAATCGTCCTTTTTCGAGTATCTAAATTTATTAAAATCTTCAGTGAAATTTAGTATAAATAATAACAGCAAAATAAAGCTCAAAACTATTGAAGTGTAGGTACTATAAGAAAGACAATTACTGAACGACTGAAGAAGAAATGTATAAAGTCTCGGCTTAAATATTATCATTGCTTCTTCGTTCAATGTATTACAAAGGATAGTGTTAGAAAGACAATACATACTCGTGGACCTAAAAATGTAACGAATCGAATACTTGAACAAATTAAAAATTGTCTTTATTGCCTCAAGAACTAGGTTAGCGCGAAAGTTATCATCTGAGGTTCCGGATTTTTCCTCTGTTTTCAGCGCGTGTTTGATGGTTAAATTAATGTCGAGGTGTGGATATCAGGATTTTGATTGGTTATTGAGAGGGTGGAAGTGATGTTTTCGGAGAGTTCGGTTTTTTAGGAAGGGAGTAATTTATGATGGAGATCCTTCAGGATCACGCGCTAACTAATTTGCTTGTTTCTGGAAAAGCCACGTACATAGTTGAGAGGTACTGAGGATTCAAGTAGATGGAACGTTATTCAGATACCGTAAAAGCAAAAAGGAAAGTATCTAACAATATTCCTATGTTTTGGTACAAGATATCGTAGCTCTGATTCATAAATATCAACGACAAGAGTAAGAAAACCGCCAAGGAACGAAAGTATCGTCTGAGCCCGTGACTATCACGGGCTTGTACAAATTGCACATTTCTTCGTGCCCGTATATGCAGGATGCTTCGAAACATGTAGACACAACTGAAGGGATAGATTTAGTGTACGACAAACGTATACCCGATATGACTTCGTTTCCGAATTATAGCCGTTTATGTCTTCCAGTAATTCTTACGACTCTGTTGACTGCTTCTTTTAATTGTTTACAAGTAACGCTTCTTATCTCGCGCACGAGCTTCTGGTCTGCTATTTTGTAATTTGTTCCAATCAGTTTAATACATGTTCTTGGCGGTAACAGCACGTATGGAAATTTGCTAATACATTTCACAATAGTATTTTTGAACGAGTGAGAAGATCTATGATACGACGTTTGGAAGCCTGATAGCCGAGCATGGCAACTTTGAACAATTTCTATGAAAATTATTAAATAACGGGTATTACACAGAAAGGGCTATAATTCGGAAGCAAGGTCACATCGGGTATACGTTTATATGAACTTTTATTCTCATTTTACCGTACTGAATCCATCCCTGAAGTTATGACCACATGTTTTCAAACACCCTGTGCACATACACTACCGGCCAAAAGTTTGGAAAATCACCGAGCATTGCGATATGAACTTTTATTCTCATTTTACCGTACTGAATCCATCCCTGAAGTTATGACCACATGTTTTGACCACTACCGGCCAAAAGTTTGGAAAATCACCGAGCATTGCGATTTACACAAAAATTTCGAGAAAAAAGTCAGCGACTTTGAGAATTTTTTATCATTCGAATCAATCGATAAATGCCGAATTGTGATAAACTTGAAATCTATAAAAAATTAGCAGCAGATTTAATATTGATGAAAAGTGGGAGGTGATGCGAAACTTTTGGCCGGTAGTGTGTATCACTAGCACGAGCGTGAAGTGGTTAAACCGTAATTGTTAACAAACCTAAAATTTCTGGACGACCGTGTACGTACACCGATCGAACTGATTTCATTTTAGCAAACTATAAGAATTCCCGTCTAATTAGAATATTGAAAAAATTGAGAGAGAGAAAAAAATAGCTGAAACCAGATCGATAAGAAACGCGGGCAAAAGGAGACGTTAACGAGTGTGCTTTTCAATTAGCCGCGCGCTTCTGACGGAGTCGAAAGGAAATTATAGAGCGGTACAGGACTGGGCGAGCGGTGGCAATAAAAACGCAATAAATCGCGGGGACTTCCGGGCCAGTCGTAGAATCTAGGCCGAACTGTCGGAAGAAAGAACGAAGCCGTCCGTGAAGAAAACCGCTTGGCTCTCTCTCTCTGTATGTGGCCGGTCGATCTACGATCGCGTGCACATGTGCCGTTTCCGCGTCTCTCATGCGATTTCCAAGGCTGCCACGTGACGGGATCTCTCGGTTGGGCTTTTGGTCTTCGGGTTGCAGGACGATTCGTGGGCTCAGGAAAACAGGTCAGGTTTAACGAACCGTCGAACGAGCCCCGAGCTGGGTAACGAGAGCTAATTGCCGACATTTTCATCGTGTACACGACTCAAATACGCGGGCTAAATAGAGGCTCGTTATACTACGGCTAGACGCTCTCGCGTATATGCATCTCCGTCGAAATCTTATTAGGTATGTGTCGAACGGATTTCGTATATACACGAACGTCTTGTTACATTTTAATCGTAGCTCATTATCATGAATACTTGGCATATGCACGTGTATGCGGTAGTTGAAAATAAACGACCAGCGAGCCTTTCAAACAATTTTCTGTATCGAAGAATCCTCGTGACATGCGTAGAATGTTTATAGAACGTGTATATACGTATGTACACGCGTATAACGTAGATGGAAACGCGATTAAAGAGCAGGAAGAAGCTGCATAGGGTGGTTAAGTGTTTTCGAAGTGAATTTCCACGGAAACCCGGTAGATTTGTAATTGCTCGGCTGCTGCAAACATGGAGCAATGCTTCGTAATTGTCGTGACTAAGTTATTTACTTAAGCCACTTACGCTGCACCGGGGTTATGCGTTATCGTAGCGACGGTGGCTACGTTAATCTCGAAGCGAGAGGGAGGGAGACACTCCATTTCGCTTTCCTCTCTCTGGCTTGGTGTCCCACTCGGTGACGCTATTGTACCCCTTCGCCGACGAAGTAGCGTGAAAATCGTCCTTAATCTCCGATCGTAGCTTTTCTTAGGCCTTTGAGCCTTTAGGCTCTCGCAGCAACCGCTACAGTTTTACATCTCTCGGCTCTCCCATAGAAATTCAATTTATTCCAGTTAATAGAAATTCCCCACTTTTCCAGCTGTTTCGCGGGAAACTGACAATTACGTTAAAAGCTGGATATAAAATTGTTCACATAGGAAAATGAGCTTCTTTATTTGCACAATGGATGTCGCTGGTAGAATTTCGCGAGAGGTGAAATTATGGCGTCGATATTAATGCGGATGTGATTAAATGACCCTTGTGATGTGATTCCATTTGTTCCACTCGAAGATGAGTAATTATAGCTAATGAAAGCGGCGGTAATTCCGGGAGAAATCGAGTGTAGGTGTAAAACCGTGTAACAGCGTGCTATCAATCGCGTAATTATAGAACCATCCGATCGTGGAACTTTTCAATTGTCCGACGACGACGAAACACGTTCACCGTTCGATAATGCAGCACTGATCTCTCTTTTTCAGGGAGCCAGGCGGAGCATCAGCGATCGTTAAGCGCCGGCAACGAAGTGGTGCCGTTAAAGGGGCCCGAGGATAAAGGCGAAGATGTCATCGAGGGTCCTATCAGGGAGGTCCTCGCACAAAGCGGAAGCACCGCGAATTTGCCGTGCAAAATCACCGATGCAGGCGCTGGAACCGTAAATGTCGTTACGTAGTAGAAGTTAGTTCAGAGGCGATTGACCTAAAAAGGTATTTTCAAGATACACGCGCCCCTTCTGGCGTGATGTAATTCATGCAGCCTCGAAATTAGTTTCATGCCGATACGCGGCACCGCGCCGCTACGCTGCTCCGCGAGAGAATATTTTACATCCGTCAGATATTTCGCCGGCGACAACAGTAACACTCGCCTTCCTTTTCATCCGTCGTCACTATCGATTTTTCAATATTTCACGGAATTTTTCCACCAACACTTTTACGCTGGGAAAATTACCGATTGTAAACTTTGTTTTTCTTTCTTGTTTCTCTTTACTCGGGAAAAGATTCAGCAATCTTGAGGTAGATGGGTACTGTATTTCGTGCTCCATTGTTTTCTTCATATCGGTATTCTATAAGCCAAAGCTTCTATCTCTCTACATATATATATATGTATATATTCAGGATTCCTGTTCAATTTTCATTTCCCGTCAGAGCAGTGAGTTGAGTGATTTTCGTTTAATTCCCGTTCGCGAGACGGCACACACACATAAGTGGAGAATACAACGGACTGTTGAATCTTAAAAGCTGGAAGAATTGTTTTAGATGTGTGTAGGTGTATACAGTGTGTCCCTGGGACAGTTTTAAGGTATAAGAGATGTTCTTAGAGATATCCTTTTATAGAGAGTTAAAAACTGTATCGACTGGTGTATCCAAAAATGTGAGGTTCCATTGAAGAAACAAGTGCAATTGCACTTTTCTGATGCACAGAAATGTACAAACTCAATTCCAGAATAAGTACCATTTGACACCGTTTAATTTTGTCCCAAGGCACTTTTCTCCATCTCTAACCATTTTAAGGATATAGCTTGTTCATAACAATTCCTGTGCATGTTCGTAAATGCGTGAGATTCCTTCGATTGCTTTCGACTAGACACGTGAAGCTCGGCAAAGTGTTGCCAAGGATCAAGAAAATGAACACGTGCAACTGCTTGTCTTGAGGAATAAACCGTTCGATGGATAAACTAGTCGTGGAACAAACATCAAACATCGAGAAAGATAGACAGAGACTAGAGAGAGAGAGAGAGAGAGAGAGAGAGGGGGGAACGAAACAAAGTTTCGTCTAATGTTGTTCAATAGATTACAGAGAAAAACAGGCCAGAGCCCTCTAAATTGTATAAAATAGATTTTCCTGAAAGTTTCCAATCTATTTCCGAAGTTGATCCTTTTGTGTTGTGAATTCAATTTCTGCGCAAGCTTTGCAGCTGTAATCGAATCACGGTTAAACGGGCAAAGAATCCCGGACGAGCTCGGAATCATTTCGATTGCGCTGCTAATTGATTCCAAGGAAAGTTTTAATTGTTTCCACTCGACGGTGTGCCGATAGGAGTGAAATTTAGATGAAATTTCGGCTCTATATCTCGACAGCGTAGAATTTTCACGCGCAGCGCGCCAATGAAGCGATGGCGAAAAAGAGAAAAATATCGACAAAAATTCGTTTTCAAAGCGAAAAGTAGAACCGCCCCGCCTGACACGTGACATTTCTGTTATTTGTATAAAGACTCGAGAACGAAACGGACGTGTAGAGAGGTACGTCGGTACTGGCGCCAGTTTTATAAAGTTCAACGCGTGTTTACGCTATCCTTACGGATCACGAAAAATTGTGCCGGTTTGCGGTGCATGACTTGTTCGCTTCGTGTGCTCTGGTACGAATGGTGACGCGTGCGCTTTCCTTTATTCGATGTCGCGCGGAGAAACACTGTGGGAGAGACGCACACGTTCGCAAAATTTTCTATGGAATACGCTACCGTTTCACGAGCTTGTATTTCACACGCACAAACACAGGCATATAGAGACTCGGGTAACCGTGAAGGGTTTTCGGTTCTATTTTAATGCTGTCCGCTGCACGCTTCATGAACAGGCTTAAACTGAACCGAATGTATGCGGGTCGCATTTGTAACGCTCATCACCCTATTTCCCTCGGTTCTCTTTATTGTGCAATACGAACTGCACCTTTTGTTGGACGACTTTTTTTTCTTTCTCTCGCTTTCACAGTATTCGCAACGCCTATTAAGCTTAATTATCCATCGAGACTAAAAGTTCTAAGAAAAGGTGGTTTCGGTTCTAGAAAGCATTATTGCCACCTCGATAACAAATAGCACACCCACAGCTCTCGCTAATTTTCTTTCTACCTTCCTGAACTTTTAGACAAATTGCTCTTCTTCCCCCCTTCTCTCGCTCTCTCTCTCTTTATCTACCAACTCGCCGTTATATTTCTCCCCTTGCGGATTGCTCTCGTGAAATTCTTTAAATCGATGAATCACGTTAAGTGTCTGGAAATCCTGCGAAAGCATTCGCCATATTACCACCTACTTTTCCAAATACATAGCGTTTCGTTATTTTCGACGGAGAACGACACCTCTCCCCTTTCGACGATCTGTGTTTTATCCATCAATTCGCGGGATTCTGTGAAATTTATGCCGATTATTCGAACCTTCTGTCGTAGAGAAGGCTCTGTGCAGGTTCGAAACGACGTGTGACGGGTGCGGTAACGCCGTGGTCCTCCGATTGATTCGAATACCGAATCTCATATTTCCTCGCAGGCTAGCAGCGGAGGAGACCTTTTCTCCATGCTCCCTTGCTCGCTTCTTCTTCACATGACTCGAGCACTCTTTTCTTTTCTCCAATCGTGTTCCTCTCGCCTTTTCTCGGTAACCACGGTGTAGGAATATTTCAGAATATTTCACGAGGTTCCTACGTTAAACCGATACCGTAGCAGGTGCTCCGTTCAAGTTTTCCGTTGAAGAGGACGAAGAGAGAGAGAGAGAGAGGGAGAAAAAAAGAAGGGACGAAGAAAAGGAATGACAGAAAATCTAGGTTGTGTACACGAAGCGTCAGGAAGCGGCAAAGTCTCTTTCGATACCCGTGGCAACGAGAGCCACATGTCGGAATCGAATTCCACTCGACATTGCGGCGACGAACGATTTCTTTATAGAACAGATCAGGTCGAGCGGATTTTCCTTCGAATTTTTATTTTATATTTTCCTTCATTTTTATACTTTTATTTTATTTTTATATTCCACGGAGAATACCTGATAAGGTTTCCGTGAAGGGAAACACGTTCTTGTCTACTCGCGACGGCTAATTCTTTCGCCAAACATTCTTACGTTCGGCCATTTTTATTCTTGCTGGGATTAAGTATTTTCCAGTGGAAACATTGCATTGCACACGCGATATTGTCAGGAGTTAAGAAGAATTTAACAACGATTATTATTTGCTTCGATATAGATTTTCTATATGTCGGTCTGACCATGCACGGACATATACTACTTGGTGTACACACGATTTTCTCTCGCTCAGCCAACTTATATCTACATTGCTGTTTATAAGTGTCAGGACGTTATTATGTTCGCGTACAAAGTATTGTACGATTTGAATTACCTTTATTTACCAAAGTTAGCGTCATATATCAGTAAAAATATGTAGCAAATATCTACCGTATTTTTCGGACCATAAGACGCACCCCAAATTTACGGGACGATCTTTACGAAAGAATATTTTATTAGGTATATAAAGATATTCTCAAATTCTGACTTAATTTATTTATTGTTAAAATAAGCTTCGATACAGTATAAAGATTTGTATTTTAATGTTACCTTCGGACCATAAGACGCACTCCAATTTTAAGTCGATTTTTCTATGTAAAAAGGTGCGTCTTATGGTCCGAAAAAATACAGTACTTATTATACTTCAATTTCTGTTTTAGGATCTTAATAATTTTCTAATAACTTTTGCGAGTCAAATTATTTCATATTAAAGTTGCGATGACGAAAAGGTTTGATTCACATTCAGTAAGGAGATTTTACTAGATTTCAGTAGATGTTTGTAGAATTTAGCGGATTTCAATAGAATTCGCTAGATTTCAAAATATCTCACATCGAGTAAGTGACCTAATACTTGTAAACGGCAGCGTATACATTTATTTCTTTAATGCGTAGATCGTGCTTCCGGATAAATATGTGTATACAGACTATATTGATAATGTTGCAATCGCGTTTCAAAGGAACTCCACTCCGCCTCTTTGAATTCTTCACTCTCCAATGGTCCCGCGAAGGAAAACTGGAAAATCATAATCTACTTATAAGATGAATGCTGTGTACCTTCTGTCCATGGTATTGGTGAACGGTTTTTCGTCAGGTATAATGCCAATCGGAAGATTACCGTACGCTATATCATACGCTTCGCCTCTAGTGTTTTCATTTCCAACCAATTTCATCGTTTAATATCATCCTCGTTTCCAATGAAAACATACTTCACGTGATACTCGAGGTGAGCTGTAGCGAACTTCCTTGAATTCAACATTTATCTCGTCACTTTTACCCAGCGGTCGAATTATTAACTGGCGTGTCGTGCATTACGAATGCAAGGCACTCTCGTCGCAGGAAGTAAGAAGGGAACCGGTGAATCTATGGGCACTTATGTAAAATGCACTGTCCACTGTCATAAAGCGGGCAACGTGAATAAAATATGAATTCATCCATGTCTTGTGTACGAACAGGAGACAGAGAAACAAGTGGCGATGCTTTAGATGCCTAACCGGTTGAACGAGGCCACCAAAGAGCATAAAAATGAAGGGAAGTGTTTGCCTTGTACGAAATTCGCGAAGCCGATTATTTAGCGAATAAATTAATACTTATTTGCCAGTAATAACAAACTGTCCAATAGAGAATCATTGCAAAAATCTATGAAGTATTTTTTACAAGTATCCTTACAAAATTGTATTCAAGTTCTTAGTATACACGGTGATGGGCGAATTCATGTCACGTCTTGTCACGTCGTGTCACGTGGTGTCACGTCATGTCAGGTCTGCTCACGTCGTGACAAGACGTTTTTTTTTTTTTTTTTTCGTGAGGAAATCCTCATGGACGCCGGACTCTCCACCGGACGTCGTGTCACGTCATGTCACGACATCTTCTCACGTCTTATAACAAGACGTGACATAGTT